TATCAAAGATTAAGCTAATAAAAACCAACTGGCATTGTCGCCAAAGTTAAAAAAAAAAAAAAAAAAAAAAAAAAAAAAGATATATAGGCAAGATCATTTTTGAAACTAAAAAAAAAATTATTAATAAAATTACTAGTAAACCTATTAGTACAGAGTATTTAGCTAGAGTACTCATATACTTCTATATTCTTAAAAATAATAATCTTTCTATTTCATCAATTGGAGAATTCTACAATAAAAGATTTTACTTAAAAGCTTAACAAATCCTACAGTCCAAATTTAATATTAAATTTAATTTACCTAAAACCAAATCCATCTTTTTCAATCTAAACATTTCTGTCAAACTCAAATCTTTAATACACAATAACAATAACAATCTATCTACAGTTCTGGATGATGACATCTTAATGTTTAACTCAAACATCAATAACACAAACCAAAACAATAAAAAGGAATTACAACTTGATTATATTACAACACTTTTATATAATTCTTTTCAATAAATTCTTTTGTAGAACACATAAATGCAACTATCACTTCTAAGATAATGATGTTCTCTACAGCTAGTAAACCATTTTTAGAAAAAAATAATGTAAGTAGATGAGTAGTTAAGTCTATTTATATGAAGAATCAAGTTAATGACAGCCAGACTTAATATATAGAGCAGGCTATAGCACTTTTTGCAGCTATGAGAACTAGGCATATAGTGAGTAAATCTACAAAAGAACTTTCTATATTCTTAAACTTTATTTTATTATTTTACACTAAGGAAGTATTACAAGACCCATCTTACAACATATTATATAATCCAGATTTATACTATAACTAATGGCTAGCATGTTTAAACTTACTTTTACTTTTATATCCTCAAACACTTAGCTTTTCTTAGAATATATTTACTATTATAACTATTTACAACTTAACAATTTTAAATACATACTTATAATATCAATCAAACTTAACTATAATAAATGTTACATATACTTACTATACAGATCTTAATCTTTACCTATATACTTTTTTCTACAACTATTAGACTATACTTATTATCTATCTATATCTATTTTTTCTAAATTTTCTTTAACAAATATTAACATACCTAATATCAATCAAATTATAAAGAACAATAAACTTAATTACATCTATTACCAACTAGTAGGAACTATCTTAGAAGGCCATAATGAAACCATTATAGCTAAACAATATTATAATCATATTTAACTTAATACTTATTACAACAAATTTTTATTTTACAATTACCTATTATTACTTCCTTATCTACAAACTATTATTTCTTTTTTACAACATATTTATAGCTTTGGTTATTCATTTGACAACTTCTATGCTTATATATTAATTCATGATCCATATGCAAATCAGTGAAAATTATTAAGATTATGCAGGGAGAAATTTCACAAATTAATAAGAAAAAGCTAGTAATCAGTCTTTTTTAGCAATTAAGTAACATTAGAAGAACATGACTTTTGTTATTATATTACATAACAGAAACCATGATATAATGCCAAAAAATTCTTTTTTTAACTTGCTTATTATATTTTATTATGAGTTTTACTAGTTATTGAGCTCCAAAGCCAGATTCCTGGCAAAAAAACTACATACAAAATTATAATTTTAAAACATTATATTTTAAAATTTCATTATTTTAGCTAATTTGATTTCCTTGTCGCAGCCTCTTGCTTGTGTTTTTGTGCATAACGACCAATCCAGTTTTGAATCGTGGCAACTTTAGGTACTTCATCTACTTTAATTTCACCTTCTTGTGCATGTTGAACAAGTTCATTGTGCATATCTTGTACCATATATCTATCGCTTTTATTTATATTTCCTGCTAAGAAATACCCTTCTAATAGCACTCTGATTTCAGGTGATATTCACTTTCCTGTGCCCTTTCATCCAAACTTTTGATTTGCCTTAAGAGCCCAACCTGAATTTAGAGGAAACTTGTTCATTTTGAAAATATGATGATTCTCTTTGTTAGATATACTATTTGTTTGGTTATGAGCTATAGAAAACAATAATTCAATTATTTATTATGTTCAAAATTATGTCAATAATGATATACCTATTTTTGCCTTCATATTTTTTGCCAATTGGTTTTCTAGTAAATTTATCAATTGATCTTTATTTTCTTTATTATCAAAACTAAAGTTTCGTTTTTCTAATTCTTTCACTAGACTTTCTCTTGTAAGACAACTCAGAATAAGACCTTGACAATAAAAAAGCCTAGTTATTACTGAATATAATAAATTTGAACAGTATTAAGGACATACATGATGAATTTGGCATTAGCATTTCCCATTTTGATGAAGGTGTAGTATGTGTTGATACTTGTAGCGTGGGCTTATGAATGTTTTTTTTGTGAAATTTATTTAATTCTGCTATGGTAAAAATTTTTCTATTTATCTATATCAGGAATATCCCATGCTTTAATACATTCAGAAAATTTGCTCATTGTTGGCCATTGCCACTCAAACCAGTTAGAATTTCCAGGTAATGTATTATTACTATTACCTCTGTCCTGAATAGGATTCAGATTTGCAACAGAAGTCCCTTTAATTCCTTTGATCGCATTCTCAATATCCTGTCCTACTGTTACATCAAAGCCTAAACGAATATATCGATTGATTGCATGTGATATCTGATTCATTGTAATAAACAAAAAATTAAAAGTCAATATATGAGTATAAGTAATATGAATAATTTACTAGCAGTTATCATACCTGTGCATGATGAGAATCGATTGTAGTTTTCACTTCTCCTGCTTCCAAAAAGATCCATCTGCTTATATTAATTCCATACTATTCTGGCCAATATCTCATTATCATCATTAGATCAGCATTATAGTAATAACCCTCATTATCTGACATTATTATCACTGATTCAGGTTTTGGATCTAATGTTTCAATTACTGCATGAAGTAAAGATGCTGTGAATCACGAATCTTGACGTGAATCTATAGACCAATGATCAAGTGCTTGAATTCGTAATTTTGTTGAGTTGGATTGTGTAGTATATACAAGGACTGAGTGAAAAGACTAGCCTTTTTTGCCAAACCAATTTTGTTTAGTTTTACGTGCTGTTTTAGATAGTATTTTCATTTTGTAGTTGACTAGTATTAAAGCAGTTTTTTCATTCAGATTTAACAAGTTTGCATTTAATTGAGCATTTAAATACATCTTTCTTGTCTGATGAGCCAAGTAATAGAGCAAATGATCATACAAATCATCCAACACTTCATAAATTGAAACACTAATATTATTACATAATATATCAAAAAATTGAAAAAAAGTATAACAGTCATTACAAGTTTGAGTATGAGGTTCGTCACACTGCCCAAATGCATATGAAAGACAATGATTAATGCAAGTATTATGAAATGTCATTTCTTGTGGAGTAATATGGAAATGTTGTTCATAATCCTGTTTGAGAAAACACTTTAATTTTTCACATTCTAATGATAATTGTCTTTGTAATAACAAATATGGTATGTATTAGCTATTATCTATAATATAATATTTATTTTAATACTCTATCATTATAATTTCCTATAAGATCGTACCATGACTGGAAATCTTCTATAGGAAGATTCCCAGTTACAGATAATCATATGAAAAATTATAATAAAGGTAGGCATGAATTCATACAGAAAATTCCTGATTGAAATGCATCGAAATCCTGATCGGCAGAGCCAGAAATAATCAAATTGCCCAGGATCACTAAATTTTTACTAATAAAATCATAGCTATTTATTAAGTAAAAAGTGCGCATCTAATAATTTTGTTATAAAATCTACAAACTACTAGGGCTAAATGCCGACCTAAATCTGATCAGGAATTTTTGTGATTGTTCTGTAAAAATCGATAAGCATAAACAATGTGAGTTAGGAATATTGATGGCATCTTGAAACATCAACATCAATATTAACCATACCAAGTTTCGATATTGGCCAATCAGGATTCCACACTATATAAGTTGAATTTCTATGCCTAATCATATAATGCAAATAACCCTTCGGGCCATCTGTATTCTATAATCATCGGGAATCTCGCTATAATTTTTTCCCAGGAAATTAATAATACTATCAGACTTAATTATCTGAATTACATGTTCTACTACATGTTTTTGAATTAGTAAGATAAGATCTGAAAATATTTCATAACTATATTGTGAACACATATAGCATAATCTACCCAAATCTGGGGTGTGGTGACCTAGTGAAGTGGTCAGGTTGTCAACCTCCCAAGTGGTAGGTTGGGTGTTCAAATCCCATCGACG